TGGCGTGGCCTGGGTCCCGCTGGCCGATTTACCCCCACCTGGATGGGAGCTGGCGTGGCCTGGGCCCAACTGGCCGATACACCCCCCGAGATGGGGACTGGCGTGGTCTGGGCCACACTGGCCGATTTACCCCACCTAGATGGGGACTGGCGTGGCCTGGGCCCCGCTGGCCGATTTACCCCCAAAATGTAGCCTACGCGCGCCCTGGCACCTCCCGCGCCTCTCCTGGCGCGCTCCTCGCGCCAGGGAAGGGGGGTCCAGCGTGGACACCTCCGAAGCTTTTTGTTTATGTCGTGTTCTGCTCCTCGAGAGGACTCAGCTCAGCTCCACTGCGCGCTCCTCCCTCCCCTCACCAGGCGCTCGTTGCCGCCTCGTTGGTTGCCGCCTCGTGCGCTGGGTGGGTCCAGGGAAGTTTCGCCACGCTGCCGCCCGTTACCGCCTCGTTGCTGCCTCGTGAACTGGGTGGGTCCGGCGAAGCTTCGCCACCTTGCCGCCTGTTGCCGCCTCGTTGCCGCCTCGTGCGCTGGGTGGGTCCAGGGAAGTTTCGCCACGTTGCCGCCCGTTACCGCCCCGTTGCCGCCTCGTTGCCGTGTCGTGCGCTGGGTGTGTCCGGCGAGGTTCCGATACGTTGCCGCCCGTTGCCGCCCCGTTGCCGCCTCGTGCGCTGGGTGGCTCCGGCGAAGCTCCTCCGCGTGGCCGCCCGTGGTCGCCTCGTTGCCGCCTCGTGTGCTGGGTGCCCCAGGAGGCCGAAAGCTGCTGGCAACCCTCTGTCGTTATTCCCAACCCTCCTGTGACTTGGGTCCTCGTTTTGAAGAGGCAGCGCCCCGCGTCCTCACTCCTCCCGCTCCTCTTCTCCTCCTCCTCCTCTCCGGCACACCCGTCACACGTTTCGTGGCCCCCAGGGAGCTCCACCGAGGGCCACAGCGGGTGCGTCCGCATGGCGGCGCCGCGCCCAGTTCGGCACACCCCTCACACGTTTCTCTCCTACATGGGAGCCCCACCGAGGGCCCCAGTGGGTGCGTCCGCATGGCGGCGCCGCGCCCAGTTCGGCACACCCCTCACACGTCTCCTGCCTCCCTGGGAGCTCCACCGAGGGCCACAGCGGGTGCGTTCGCATGGCGGCGCCGCGCCCAGTTCGGCACACCCCTCACACGTCTCCTGCCTCCCAGGGCGCTCCACTGAGGGCCCCAGTGGGTGCGTTCGCATGGCTGCGCCGCGCCCAGTCCGGCACACTCATCACACGTTTTCCCGCCTCCCTGGGAAGCTGCACCGAAAACCCCACTGGGTGCGTTCGCGTGGCGGCGCCGCGCCCACTTCGGCACACGCCTCGCACGTTTCCTGCTTCCCAGGAAGCTCCACCGAGGGCCCCGGTGGGTGCGTTCGCATGGCGGCGCCGCGCCCAGATCGGCACACCCCTCACACGTTTCGTGCCACCGTGGGAGCTCCCTGAGAGCGCCACGAGGGCCCCAGCGAGTGCATTCGCATGGCGGCGCCGCGCCCACTTCGGCACACCCGTCACACGTCTCTCCTACCTGGGAGCCCCACCGAGGGCCCCAGTGGGTGCGTCCGCACGGCGGCGCCGCGCCCAGTTCGGCACATTCCTCCTACGTTTCGTGGCCCCCAAGGAGCGCCACCGAGGGCCACAGTGGGTGCGTCCGCATGGCGGCGCCGCGCCCAACTCGGCACAACCCTCATACATTTCCACCTCCCCTGGGGGGCTCCAACGAGGGCCCCAGTGGGTGTTGCATGGCGGCGCCGCGCCCAGTTCGGCCCCTTATTTCCGAATGGTTGGTTTTTTCGCCTGGTTATGTTTTGCTTACGTCGCGAAAAATGTCAGGGGCCTCCTGTGATCATTTGAACAACGATAAATCGGCGACACGATCCCGATGGCGAACCCGCACACTCTTGGGCAGGATGAGATACCAGGCCCGTATCGGCGATCAGTGGGCGACCAGGGGTCCACGCATCCCCGCCTGAGCCTAAATTCGACGCGCATAACAAGATTGCAAGATAAGGATACAATGGCATTGAAGGTCACGCCGATACCATCCAAGCGAAGGCCGCGGCCAGCGAAAATGGCCCAGGATGAGCCGAAGAGGAAGGATGCAAGGGCGAAAAATCGTCCCCTGAACGTTCCTCCTGCAATGTCAACTTGTGATGAACAAATCCGTGGGGGTGCGTGTTTTTTTTAATCGCTCCCCTGTTCGGGCGGATCGCGGGCTGGCGCCCGCCAGTTTGAAAATCAACGGCGGCGGCGCCAGTGATTAGCGCCGACGCCCAACCGCCAGCGGGAAGGCGACAGGCAGCACTGACTGGGGGACAGGAGGGGGCGGGAGGCAAAGGCGGCAAAAGCAGGGACCGTGAGCCAGGGCGAAACCTGTGTGGAATGAAGAAGAAAAAAAAGAAGAAGATGAAGAATATGAAGAAGGAGAAGAAAATGAAGAATGACACGGATAAGAAAAAGAAGAAGAAGAAGAAGAAGAAAAAGAAGAAGAAGAAGAAAAAGAAGAACTGCTGTCGGCGCTCGCCCCCGCACTTTCCATGCTCTTTTCTGTCGAACCGATGCGCTTCGTTTGTCCTGGCCGCAGCCAGGGGGGCGCCAACTGCCTCGCGGGCCCGCGAGCAAGGCGGGCTGGACGAAAGGAAAGCGTGGCCAAAAGGGGATTCACCCAGCAGCTAACATTGCTGATTTTCCGAGCGCCCCCTGGCGCCGAAAGCGGCCACGCATCGATAACTGGCCCCTCGGCGGGGCGACCGAAACCAGCTGCGCGCAGCAGGTTTCGCAACCCCCCGTTTCCTTCCTCAGCCTTTCGTCCGACCCGAGCAAGCCGGGTAGTCCTCCTCCCCCCTGTCGTGGCCTTTGTAGTCGCCGACGACGACGACGACGACGACGACGACGACGACGACGACGACAACGACGACATCGACATCGACGACGACGACGGAAACGATGACGAGGACGAAGACGAGGACGAGGACGATGACGAGAAGAACGAGGACGAGGACGAGGACGAACACGAGGACGAGGACGAGGACGACGAACGGTGGACGGCAGACGGCGGCGACGACGACGCAGTGCGGATGCCCTAGTGGGGGGAGTGATGCGCAGGCCCGCTGTAGTCGACGACGACGACGACGACACAACGAAGACGACGACGACGACGACGACGACGACGACGACGACGACGACGACGACGACCCGACGACCTGACGACCACGACGACGACGACGACACCGTGACGACGCACTGCTGATGCCCTATGGGGGAGCCTGCGCAGGCACGCTGTACTCGACGACGACGACGACGAAGATGACGACGACGACGACGACGACGACGACGACGACGACGACAAGGACGACGAAGAAGAAGACGACGACGACGACGACGACGCCTGAGAGGATGAGAAAATTCGCCTCGGAGGTGTACGACCCCTAGAACAAGTTCTACACAAAACGCGATTGTTTTGAGGCTGTGATGCAGGGGGGTGCACGATCCCCCCGGCGGCGCCAGCGACGACCCCCTGGCGCGCGTGAGTAACAAAATGTCTCGCGCCCCGCGGGGGTTCGGTTCATCAGGGTGTGTGTGGGGGGGGACACTTGCGAACCACAAGCTGACATTAGAGGGACCTGCCCGACTTGACTGGAATCCAGTAGGAAACATTCCTCGGAATTCAGGAGGAGGAGAAGGAGGAGGAGGAAGAAGAAGAAGAAGAGGAGGAGGAGGAAGAGGAGGCGGGGGAGGAGGAGGACGAGGAGGAGGAGGAGGAGGAGGAGGAGGAGGAGGAGCAGGAGGAGCAGGAGGAGGAGGAGGAGGAGGAAGAGGAGGAGAGAGACCGAGGGGGGGTCCGCCCCCCCGGGAGCGCGCGCGCGAGGCTCCTCCCGCGGTCCGCCGGCGAGCGCCCGCGCATGGGCCGCGACGAGCGGTCCGGCGGGCCGCCGGCCCCCCGGAAGGGGCCCGGGCCGCCCTGGCCGCCAGCCATGCCTGCGCGGGAGGCGCGGGGGGCCAGGCGATCAGCAGATCATCCGAGCCCGTGCTCGCGCCCCGACGCCACGAGGCGCCCGAGCAGGAGCATGCAGAAATTCCTGGCCTCCTCGAGGCCGCGCGGGCCGCGCTTCCCCCCAGGGCCCAGGGGGGGGGAGGGCAGCAGCAGGGGTATGGGTCGAGCCTTGATCGTCGAGGGTTGGCCACTTTCGGGCTGGGAATCCTCCCTAGAGATCCTGGCGTTGCACTTGTTTCGCACTAAGGCGATTTCGCCTTGCTTTGGGTCCCAGGGCTCGCAGCAAGGCGAAAATCGCCTCCAGACGTGATCTGTCATGACACTTCTACTTTTCCTGCGACGTTGCAAAAAATCACGCACCACGGAGAATTTCTGCTAATCTCCTGTCTCCAGAGGCCCTCGCCGTGCCCCGGGACCGCCCCAAACCGACCCGCAGGATGAAACGCTGGTCCCCAGGAAAGGGGTCCAGACCTCTGGGGAGCCACGCTGCGAAATAATCACGACGCTGGATGCCTGGGTTCAGCAGGGACCGACCGTCCCAGCATTCCTATAGGCCTACCACGAAGAGCTGTCAGAACCAAAGAATATTTCTAAGAAAAAAAGCCAAGTGCTTTGAACATAAACCCGATGTGCTAAAACATGACAGCCTCAGCCAGAAATGTTCTGAGAGCATTTCGTGCAGATCACAAAAGGTTATTAGAAGATTAGTTGGTGGGCCCACACAGAGGCCTCACAGATGGGGTCGGATGGGATGGGGCCGGAGGATCACGCCGCATCGCCGATACATCGGCGATGCACTGGCGACGTCGGCGGTGCATCGGCGACGTCGGCGTGGAGAAAACTGGGCCCCACACCGAGCCGCGTCGCCGATGCATCGGCGAGGCGTCGGCGATGCGGCGCGACCCTCCCGCCCCACCTACTCCGACCCCATCTAGGAGGCCTACAGGGCAGCTTCTGAGACATAGGATGCTTAAACATTATAATTACGATTTTTGATACATGATTAATGCATGGGCAAATTTATGCATGAACTCATCGTCGCTTTAATACTAAATCCCTGCATGTTTTATACATGATCCGCACGCGGAGCATGCACTAAAAACGGCACTGCAGACTATAGGCGAGCCAAGACGCTGCGCCACTGCTCGAGCCTGGCGCCCTCGGCCACCGCCGGCCACCGGCGGGCCCGCCCGGCTCTCCGCCCGAGGCCACCGGCGGGGCCGCCCGCCGGGGCGGCCGGGTCCGCGGAGAGCCGGCCGCGGGGGCTCGGCCCGGGCCGCGGGGGCCGCGGCGCGGGGCGCCTCCCTCCTCCCCCTCCTCCCTCCTCCTCCTCCTCCTCCTCCTCCTCCTCCTCCTCCTCCTCCTCCTCCTCCTCCGCCGAGCGACTTGGTATCCACTCGCAGGGCACGGCATGCCGGCGGGGCCCCACGAAGAAGTCGCGACGGGAGGTTTGTCGCTGGCTTCGGCCTCTGTGGGGCGCCTGCCGGGCCTCGGGAGGAGGCAAGACAGCATCAACTGGTCCTGGAGGAGGAGGAGGAGGAAGAGGAGGAGGAGGAGGAGGAGGAGGAGGAGGAGGAGGAGGAGGAGGAGGAGGAGGAGGAGGAGGAGGGAGGGATGCATGGAGGGTGTCCCTGGGAATGGGTCCAGACCTATGGGGGTCGACGCGAGGAGAAAGTGACGACGTCGGGGGTCTGGGGGCCGCCTCGTGGGGCCGCCGCGGCCGTCTCCGCCCGCACGCGCCGCAGAAGGTGGTGCCACCGGGTCTGGGCCCAGTGGGTGCCCAGGAGCAGTGCGAGAAGGGTGCTCCTGCCGCGCCTGCTGCCTCCAGCTGGCCCAAGGAGAGTTCCAGCCACGAGGGGGTGTGGTGGGCTTGTTTTCCACTGCCACCACCATCAGTAGGAGGGGGAGGGGGTCCTCCTCCTCCTTCTCCTCCTCTTCCTCCTCCTCCTCCTCCTCCTCCTCCTCCTCCTCCTCCTCCTCCCCCTCCTCCTCCTCCTCCTATCGTCTTCCTCCTCGTCGTCGTCCTCCTCCTCACCCTCCACCCGCTTCCCCTCCCCAACTTATGGTGGTGGTAGTGGTGGAAAACAAGCCAATCAGGATGCGCTGAATGTCGAGTCCGGATCCGAATCGGCACTTCAGTGCCAGCTGATTGTGGTGTCTGGCCGCCACTGCCTCCCTGTGTCTGGACCCCCTCTTGGGCCTGCGCAAGCCAGGCACTGCACGTGGGGAACTGGAGCGGTGGGATTGACCCGGGAGGCCTGGAGTGGAGAGATCAGGAGGGGCACGAAGACGAGGAGAAGGGCCTAAACTCCCGACATCGTGACTCTTTCTATCAACGTGGACTCCACAAGGTCTAGTCCCTTTCCAGGGACTCGCTGTTCTGTCATCCCGAGTCGTTATTTGACAGTCCTGGGGCACGGTTGGGGCCTGCAGAAGCCGAAGACGTAATTACGAAAAATGTCCGCGATTGTTTGAATCGCGGACACTTTCTGCTGCGAGAAATTGTCGCAGATGCTTTCGATCTCGGACTGGTCGCACCAAGGTGCACCACAGCGCCATGCGAGCATCGAGCCGCAATCAAATCGAATCAGGCCAATCTGCAGAAACAACAAACGGCATGAACAGACACTCTCAGAGGTCCGCGCAGACTTCTCGGATCGGCGCTGGACCCCCCCCCCTCCCTGGGGGCCCAGCGCAGGTCGGAGAAATCCGCGCGGGCCGCCGAAAATGCATGTGAATGCCTTTTTGTCTTCGAAGATCGGACTGCCGGGATGGCGGAACCAACTCGGCCCAGGCCGGTCGGAATCGATACTCCAGATTTCGTAATGAAAGGGAGGGGGTCTGGACCCTCCAAGACAAGCCATTTCAGACCTCCCCCGTGGGAGAACCCTCCAAAGCATCGTCCCCAGACCCCCCAGGCCCTCCAAGATAGCCTGGAGGAGACCCCCCCCCCGAAATGAGACCCCCCTCCCTTTCTTACGAAATCTGGAGCATCGAACGGGGTCGATCGGGTCGAAGCGGGCCCTGGCGGGGCCTGCTCGAGCGCTCGCCGGTCCTCCGCGACCTCGAGAGCCGAGCGCTCGTCCCGCCTCGCCCCTCGCTCGCTCGCTCGAGGTCCCAGGCCCTCGGAGCGAGGTTCGAGGTTCCAGCGTTGCCGTTGTCGTCGTCGTCGCCGCCGCCGCCTTCGGCGTCGTCGTCGTCGCCGTCGTCGTCGTCACAAGCCGTTTCCGTCGTCGTCGTCGTCGTCGTCGTCGTCGTCGTGGGCGCTGTCGCCGCCACTGCCGTCGTCGTCGACGTCGTCGTCGCCGTTGCCGTCGTCGTCGCAAGCCCTGTGTCGCCGTCGTCTTCATTCTCCTCCTCTTCCTCCTCCTCCTCCTCCTCCTCCTCCTTCTCCTCCTCCTCCTCCTCCTCCTCCTCCTCCTCCTCCTCCTCTGGTCATCCTCCGCCTCCTCCGCCTCCTCCTCCGCCGCCTCTTTCCCCGCTCTGGCATGACAGAGACGGGCCCTGGAGCCCCGGAGGGGAGGGGTCCGCGGCGCCTCCCGCCGTGCGGCGGGGCAGCGGGGCCCTCCTCCGCGGGCCGCAAGGGACCGCTGCCAGGGTGGTCCTCTGGAGGAAGAGCCTGGTCCCCGGGGAAGGCCCCCGGGGTCTGGGACCCGCTTCTCTGGGGGTCCCTGCTCGTGGCGTCCAAAACCGAGATGGCGGAGCGCCAGAAGCAGGGGGCCACATGCGAACCCTACCCCTTACCCCCCACGATTTCTGGGGGGGAGGGGGAGGTTCACTTCGTTCGGGAGCTCCCAAGCGAAGCGAGCCCCACCCTCCCCCTCAGAAATCGTGGGGGGTAGGGGTAGGGTTCGCATGCGGTCCCCTAAGAAGGGCGCGCAAAGGCCTCTCGAAGAAGCTCTGGAGGCTCCTGGAAGGAAAGAGCCTCTGGAGAGCTGCCGGGCAGACGTGTGTGGAACGCTGAGACAAGGCCTCTCGGGACCCGCCACAAGTTCAAAACACATCCTGCCAGAAGCCGGAACGAGCTCCAGGGCAACCCTGCTGCTCTGGCTTCCTAGTATGAAACCCTCTTAGCTCTCTACGAGCTATCCAGGAGCAGTCAACCCGTATGATAAGGACTATGGTAAGGATGCAAGGGCTCTGGAGGGCCATGTCGACACCTTTCGGGCAGGGCGCTGCCAGCGAAAGTGGCCGAGGACGGGCCGAAGAGGAAAGATGGAAGGGGAACCCGGGAAAGGTGCTCATCCTTACTACGCGGGTTGACTGTAGAAGAAAGATCGCTCTGGACGGCTCCTAGGAGGAGGAAGTGTGACCCTCCAGCTGGGTTCCTTCCCTCCGCCCCCCTCCTCCTCGGTGAACCCCTGGACCACCTCGAAATGCTGCGAGGTGCCGATGTCCCCAAAACTCCAAAACTCCGAACGCCTCCAGGGCGCTCTGCGAAACAGCCCCAGCGTGCCCGAGCGCCCGCGAACCCTCCCAAATCGCCGCAGGCACCCAACAAAAAAGGTACGCCCGAAAGCGGGCAGCAGCGACGAGCAGCAGAGCAGGTCTTGGATGGGCTTCCTTAGCAGCCAAGGGGCCGACATCACCTCCGAGACGGGCTCTTCGGCAGGGATGGGGCGGGAACGGCGGGCGCCTGGCGCGGGCACCACGCCAGGCGGCAGCAGGCCGATGGGCATGATGTTGGGGGGCAGCATGCCGTTGCCGAACATGGCGTTGCTCAGCATGGCGCCACCTCCAAGGGAGTGGAGGGACGAGGAGCTGCGCAGACGAAGGAGGGTGCTCCTCCTCGCTGCGTGCCCCCTCCTCCTGCTGGGGGGCCTGCCTGGTCTTTGTCCGAGGGCCTGTCCAGTCTTCGTCTGGCTCTCCACATCCTCGTCCTCCGCAGCACCCTCCACCTGGGCCTCCTTCTCCTCCTCCTCCTCCTGCCAGGGGAAGGAAGGCAGGATCAGTCGTCGTCGAGGCGGATCGTATCGGACCGTGCGTCGGATCGAGTGGACCCTCTCTGGGGGGGAGGAGACTTGCTCTTGTTGTGCCTCCCCATCCTCTACCTCATTGGAGCCTCTCCTGCCTTCGTTGGCTTCCCCTGCGGATCCTTCTCCCCCGCCCAAGCCAGAGGAGGAGCGCCGAAGCCGAAGAGAATGCCGGAGTTGGACAAAATCGAACCATCGTCGGACGCCTGGGTTTAAGTCGGGCCTGTCCCCCTACAGGGGGATTTCCGACGAAAAATAAAAAATACCCCAAAAATAATCCAAAAAAAATCCGAACATTATCTGGGGTCTATTTTTTGTGTATTTTCTAACCTTTTTGGTGCATTGTTGGGGTATTCTGCTATTTTTCATCGACAAATCCCCCTGTAGGGGGAACAGGCCCGACGTAAGCCTGGGCCTCTTGCTGCGAGGGGGGGGGGCACCTCGTGGAGAGATCGCCTGCAGAAAAAAACACCGCCCGCGCCCTCCCCCCGCGTAGGAACAAGGAAAGGCGACACCAACACCAACAGGGGGAGCTCCCTGGTGGTGTGGTCCCCCCCCCTCGCTCGAGACATCCCCAGCCTCCAGCTCGGAGAGGCACCGTGGACCTCCGCGCTGGCGGTGGGCCCCCTGGTGGTGTTGGTATCGCTTCTCCTCCCTCCGACCGCGGACCGCGCGGGGGGGACCGGGCGGGAGGCGCTTTCCCGGCCGTGCCCGGTCCAGAGCCTCTCCCGCCCGGTGAGCTCTCTCACTGCGAGATGCGTTCGGCCGCCTTCTCGTGGGACGCACATGGACATACTAATACTATATGTCCTCCTTGGAGGCGCGCGTCCGACCCGAACATATAGTATACCCATCTTGTAGTATATCGTTTCCCGAGCGGTGTGGCCAGAAAGCGCCCGCCACGACGCATATACTATAAGATTTCTCGGTGCGCGCGTCGCCCCTGGGGGGCGACGCACATATAGTATAAGTATGTTGGGGTGTTGCCGACCCGGGGCCGTCAAAAATCGGCTCGGAAGGCAGTCCTGGCGGCTCGTCCTCGGCCACGGCTTTCCACAGCTGGTGTCCAGGTGCTGGCCATCAGGCGCGAAGGCGCCCCCGGGAAGCTCCAGTGAAAAAGCCAGCGTCCCGGGGAAGGGGTGGAGGCCTCCGGGTGACCACGTTGACCGTCGTAGCGTCCCATGAAAAAGGAGAATACCGCGACCTCCCCCCCGCGGACCGCGGGGGGCCCATCGTGCCGGATGCCCGCAGGTGTCCCCACTGCCGCCGCCACACCAGATCCCAGCTGGCTACGGAGAAGGCCGTCGGGCTCGTCATCATCGTCATCATCAACATCATCAACATCATCACCACCGTCGTCGTCCTCATCCTCATCATAATCACCAACGTCAGTATCGCCAACCAATGTCACCACCGTCATCTTCATCACCACCATCCTCCTCGTGCATCACCGTGCTCATCACCATCACCGTCGTCATCACCACCACCACCACCACCATCCTCATCATATCGATAATCACGATCGTACCAAAGATATCACCACTACCACCTCCACCACCATCATCAAAAACAGCACAGTCGTCGTCGCGGTCATCAGCATACTCGCCATCACCTGCTAAGTCAGTACCCATCCTAACCAATATCATTAGCAAAATCATCAAACGAAGAACGGAGGAGGGGGGAAGGGTGAAAGGGAGGAACGAGCCGGGAAAAATGAGGTTGCGTGAGGAGAAGAGAAGAAGAGGCAAGGAGGGAGGCAGGAGGGAGGAAGAGGGCGGAGGAGGGCAGAGGAGAAGGAGGAAGGAAAGGGGGTAAGAATGAGGAGGAGGAGGATGAGAAGCAAAGCAAAGAACCAGCGGAACCAGCGTCTACCATTGCTGCGAGACGAGGGAGAGAAAGGGGAGAGGGAGGAGAGAGGGAGGGAGGGAGAGGAAGAGGAGGGAGGAAGGAGCAAGGAGGGAGGCAGGATAGGGGGGACGAGGAGGACGAGGAGGACGAGGAGGACGAGGAGGAGGAAGAGGAAGACGGTGATCGGTCGAGCCGTCGTGCCGAGCTCGGGGCCGCCTCGCATCGGCTGAGGCTGGGCAGCGTTGAGAGAAGTCTGGCGCGGCCTCGCTGCAGCCATGTCGTTGAAATTATCCCAGCGCGACCCTACCTAGGAGTTGGAGCATTTAGGAAAGCAATATCTACGTCTACACCGACAGCTACATTTACATCTACACCTGCATCTATGCTATGATATGCTATGATGCGCTATGCTATGATATGCTATGATTTGCTATGCCATGCTATGCTGAACTATGATATAATATGTTATGGTATGCTATGCTATGATGTGCTATGCTTGGCTTGCCTTGGCTATGTTATGCTATGCTATGCTGTGCCAATGCTGCGCTAAGCTATGCTGCGCTAAGCTAAGCTAAGGTAAGCTAAGCTATGCTAAAGTAAGCTAAGCTAAGCTAAGCTAAGCTAAGCTAAGCTAGGCTAGGCTAGGCTAGGCTAAGCTAAGCTAAGCTAAGCTAAGCCAAGCTAAGCCAAGCTAAGCCAAGCTAAGATAAGCTAAGTTAAGCTAAGATGGCATAAGCTAAGATCAGCTAAGCTAAGCTACGATGATGTAAGCTAAACTAAGCTAAGCTAAGCTAAGATGAGATAAGCTGAGCTAAGCTAAGCTGTACTACGATCAGCTCAGCTAAGATCAGCTAAGATAAGCTAAGCTAAGCTAAGCTAAGCTAAGATGATATAAGCTAAGCTAAGCTAAGCTAAGCTAAGCTAAGCTAAGCTAAGCTAAGCTAAGCTAAGCTAAGCTAGGGGAACCCAGGGGCGCAACTAGGGGAACCGCGGGGCGGGGACTGAGGGAACCGCCCGGGGCGTTTTACACTGCCCGGCCCCTTTAAGCAAACAACAAAGTAAGAACCCTCTAGGCAGAGCCTAGGTAGGGAAAAAAAGGGAATCAATGGCGCCGCGCGGCGCTCGGGGACGCTGCCTGCACCGACAGGGATCTGCAGAGGGGGCGGCACCCGCTGGTCACGAGTGCCCTCTGGCCTGCTTCCCCTTCCCCGCGCCCTGAGCCAGGCCCCCCCCTCCACCCCCCCCCCTGCCAGGAGGACGAAGGAGCGAGGAACCAGGAACCAGGAGGAGGAGGACGAGGGAGGAGAAGGAGGAGGGAGGAGGAGGAGGAGGAGGAGGAGGAGGAGGAGGAGGAGGAGGAGGAGGGAGGAGGGAGGGAGGGGAGGGAGGGAGGGGAGGAGGAGGGAGGGAGGGAGGAAGGAGGAGGAGGAGGAGGAGGGAGGAGGAGGAAGGAGGAGGGAGGAGGAGGAGGAGGAGAAAGGAGGAGGAGGAGGGAGCGGGGGGGAGGAGGAGAGAGGAGAAGGAAGGAGAAGAGAGGAGGAGGGAGGAGGAGGAAGGACGAGAGAGGCACGGGACGAGAGCGGGATGAGGGATGGGCAGGACGAGAGGGGCAGGAGCAAGAGCAGGAGCACCAGCAGCAGGCGGGCGAGGGCGAAGGAGACGAAGGGCGAGCGCAGCCACCGTTCTGAGGTGATGGGCAGCGCCGGATACAGGGAACGGAAAACGCTTTTGTGGCCACGGCGAGCCTCGGCCTCGAACAGGTGCCCCAACGGAGATCTGAGGAACAGCTCCCGAAGCCAAACGGAGTGCTCCTCGTCTCAGCGGCTCGGCTGTGAGGCCTCCCGCCTCCTCGAGAGGCGCGGGGCCCGCCGGGGGGCGGCGCCAGAGGCGCTGCCGGGGGGGGGGGAGCCGACGCCGACCCGGGAGGCCTGCGCAGACCTCGGAGAGCGCACGCAGGTTTACCACGTACACCCTGCGAAATGCTTAAGAAATCATGGGTTAAGAAATTCATGGTCCCAGAACTTGAATGAAAACCCAAAGATTCTATTCAAATCTTAGGATTTACATTGAAACATTAAGAATAATCGAGACTCTGGCCGAAAATTCAAGTTTTCTTAAGCATCGCCTAAGGTGCACAGTACAGTCGGGGCGTTGACCTAAGGAACCCAAAATAAGGAACGGGGCCCCTCTTTTCAATGGGTTAAACTTCGACTTCCCGTCGAAAACCTAAGGAAAACCTGAGGCAGGCTGTGAAACACTTCAGGAACACGGAGCCCCTCCCCAACGAAAAGGGTTCCTTCTTCCGCGACCCGACTGCAGGGGCCCGACCGCAAGAAACCTTCCACAGGAAACCCAACCCCGAGACCCCAGGACGTCCACTGATTTTCGGTGTGGGAGCGTCACGCTCTCCATCGCAAAAGCATCGAACCCCAAGAAACCCTGGAGGCAAGCAGGGTGCGTCTTGGCATGGGTCTCCAGTCTCCACTGTAGTGTTATTAGAGCCTCTCTCCTTCCTCTTCCCATTTCGTCCCCTCCCCTCCCCTCTCCTCACCGTAAGGCATCCACGGCGACAGCAAAATCGACAACAGACCGAATCGATAACGACGCCGAAACCCAGCGAAGCCAGCAGGTCGCAAGCAGCCCAGAAGGGCGCAGCGAAGCAGCAACGACGAAACGACAGACCGAACCGGCCGAGTGCAACCGACTGCGACGCAGCAGAACCGACCGATCCGCTGAGACCCTAGCTCACCACTGACCCCCGGTGATGTCGCCCCAACAAACCATTCGGCTGCGCGCCGTTCATCTGCATCTGCTGCATCTGGCCGTTCTGCATGGCGACTGGGAGGTCAGGTGCTACCGAGGCAGAGTGCACAGGACGCAAGCAGAGATCGTCATGCCGAAAGAGCGTGCTCAGAACTGCTTATGCCCGTGTGTGTGCGCAAGTCCATTGCATATCATCACAAGCCTTCCGTACATTCCCGTGGCATTGCGCATGACTGTATATGGACAAACGCACAGGGTCTTCCTCCCCCCTCATCATCCTCATTATCGTCCAGTTCTTATATGTTACGTGTCCTTCACCATCGTCATCATCATCAGCATCATCATCATCAGCAGCATCATCATCAGTAACAGCAGCATGAGCATCATAACTCTCATCATCGTCATCGTCGCGGTCGCAATCGTATCACCATCCTCAACAACGAAAACTTCATCTTCATCATCACCATCAAACGCATCATCATCAACGTCATCGTCAGAAGCAACATATCATCATGATCCTTATATCGTCAACAAATCATCATCAGTATCAATGCCATTGCCATGATCATTATCATCATCGTCATCATAATCACCAACAACATCATCACCATCAGCATCATCACCACCAAACGGAATCATCATCATCATCATCATCGTCATCATCACCAGCATAATCATCAGCAGCATCATCATTGTCATGGCTATTGTCATCATCGGCAGCATCATCATAAGCATCACCATCATCATATCAGCATCCTCATCAGCAGCATCCTCATCACCATCATCACCATCAGCATCACCATCAGCACCATCATCATCATCATTATCATCACCACCAACCTTCATCATCATCAACATCAACTGTCAACGACCAGCAACAATCATCATTACCACCATCAAAAATGTCTCACGTATATTCTAGCTCATTCCGCAGCTCTTCTTCCAACTCCTGCTCTGCTCCCTCTCATCAGTCCCCGAAACTTTTCCCATGTCCCCGTCATATTCATCGTCCTCGTTCTCGTCAGATTCATCATCATCAACATCATCATCATCATCCTCGTCATCATCACCACAGTCATCATTATCAGCATGAATATCAACATCAGAATCATCAACATCATCATCGATATTCATCATCATCATCATCATCATCATCATCATCATCATCATCATCATCAGCATCATCATCATCCTCCTCATCCGACACACCCCTCCCCGTCCAAATGCCACTCGAAGTCCCAGAAACGAGAGGAATGAAACCCAGCGCAACTCCTCCCTTCTTCTTCATCCTCTTCCTCCTTATCCACCCAATATCTCCACATCATGTAACTTCGCATCCACATCAGCATCATCATCATCATCATCATCATCATCATCATCATCATCATCATCACCATCACCATCACCATCACCATCATCATCAGCATCATCAGCAGCATCATCATCGTCATCAACATGATCATCAGCAGCATCATCATCATCATGAGCAGCAGCAGCATCAGCATTAGCATCAGTATCGCAACAGTCAACATCGTTATCATCACCATCATCATGATCCTCATAATCAGCAAACACAACATCGTCATCAACATCATCAGCAGCAGCAACACAAGCGTCATGACCAGCATCCTCGTTTGCTTGTTCTTATCATCTCATCTCATCATCCGCATCAGCATCACCATCAGCATCATCATCAGCATCATCATCAGCATCATCAGCATCATCATCATCAGCATCACCAACATCAGCATCATCACTTTGATTAGCACCACCACCACCACCACCATCATCATCATCACCATCATCATCATCATCATCATCAGCACCACCATCACCATCACCATCAACATCAGCATCGCTCGTCTTCACCCTTCCGGCGCCCACGCCTCGCCTGGCCGCGCCCCGCCCTGGCCGTTCTGCATCTGCGCGATGGGAACCGCGCCTGGCGCTTTCTTCGAGGCCACCCTCCGGGTCCTCTTTTGTTTACGCTGCGTGGACTCTGAGCTGTGCTTGTGGCGTGCCTCCTCCTCCTCCTCCTCCTCCCCCTCCTCTCCCTCCCTCCTCCTCCTCCTCCTCCTCCTCCTCCTCCTCCTCCTCCTCCTCCTCCTCCTCCTCCTCATCATCATCATCATCATCATCATCATCATCATCATTCATCATCATCACACCACACCACCACCACCACCACCACCACCATCATCATCATCATCATCATCATCATCATCATATCATCATCATCATCATCATCATCGTCATCGTCTCATCATCATCATCATCATCATCATCATCTCACATCACACCACCCCACCACCACCACACCACCACCATCATCATCATCAATCATCATCATCATCAGCATCATCATCAGCATCACACATCATCATCATCATCATCATCATCATCATCACCACATCATCATCATCACATCAAAATCATCATCATCATCACCACCACCACCACCACCACCACCACCACCACCACCATCATCATCATCATCATCATCATCATCAGCAGCAGCAGCAGCAGCATCATCATCATCATCAGCATCATCATCATCATCATCATCATCCTCATCATCCTCATCATCCTCATCAGCAGCAGCATCATCATCAGCATCATCACCATCAGCAGCATCATCAATACCAGCCAGCGTTGACTCCAAGTAGATAGAAGCACAGGAGGAGGACGAGAGGAGTATGGGAGGAGGACGAAAGGAGGACGGGAGCAGGACGGGAGGAGAACGGGAGGAGCAAAATCAAGCAAGCGCACGCAAGCCAGCGGAAGCAAGCAAGCGCAAAGGAGCAATAACAAGCAAGCAAGAGCAAGCGATCAAGTGCAAGCAAGCAAGGGCAAGCAAGAGCAAGCAAGCGAGAGCAAACACGCAAGAGCAAGCAAGTGCCATTGGAAAAAGGGGGGGTGCCATTGGGAAAAGGGGCGGGCTAAAGACCAGTTACTTATGATGAGCGAGGACTCCTATAGGGCAAGCCTATTTGGAGAACAGCATCATCATTATCAGCATCCGCATCATCATCATCATCAGCATCGTCAGCATCATCATTATCATTAGAATTATTAATATCATCATCAGCAGCAGCAGCATCATCATCAGCATCATCATAAGCATCATCACAATCATCATCAGTATATCGTCGCGGTCGTCGTTATCAGAATCCGACCCCGTCTCCGTCTCAGTCTCCGTCTCATCCTCCTCCTCCCCATAATCACGTCATCCTCATCATTAGCATCCTTATCCACGTCCGCACCCTTCGCCTTTGCCACTTCCACACCCTCGGCATCCACCATCCTCCTCCTCATCATCATCGTCCTCCTCCCCTCCTCCTCCTCCTCCTCCTCCTCCTCCTCCTCCTCCTCCTCCTCCTCCTCGACATTCATCTGCGCATCCCTCTCCTCCACCTCCTCCTCATCCCTCCACCACCACCTCCACAGACTGATCCTCCTCATAAGCTTCCTCTGTCCTCAATCTCCTTGTGCTGCTCCTCCGCCTCCTCCGCCACCTCATCCTCGACCACCTCCTCCCCCTCCCCCTCCTCCTCCTCCCCCTCCCCCTGCTCCTCCTCCAAGTCATTCCCACCCTTCCAAGTACTCTGAGGGAACACAATCCCTGATCGTCTGGGAGGCACATCGCCTCCCAACGCAGCCAGACTTAAGAGAGACACTAACAGAATGAGGCACACTGACGATGTGTCGCGCGCGCCTCAAGACCTCGAAGGTAAGGCAACGGTTACCCCGCCTGATATGAAACACTGTGCTCAGTTGGGACCGCCTTGGCCATCCAAAAGCTCAAGAGGCATGATGCATCATCAACACTGCGCCCTCCCCTGTCCTCGCCGCGCGCCTGGAAACGCACCCTCCTGCAGCTTGTTCATCGGCACGACGACAGGCATGTACTGGACGCCTGCACAGCGGCCGATCACACGGATCAAGCGAGCAAGCTGCGGGCAGAGCAGAAATTACGAGTCCTGGACTGCACCCGACGATCCGTCTCGCTGGTCCTTGTCTTTGCCAGGCGTCTGATCGCTCGTGTTCGCCCAGGGACTCTCGCTGAGGCCCTGGGAAAGCCAAATCAGAAGCCACTCTCTCCTTATGTTGTTCCCATCGTACTAAAGGACCATATCCCATAACTAATTTCGAGCACCCGAGAAAGTATCGAAACAAAGTATGCCCGACACGCTAGCGAAAGGTCGAAAAGAGTCTGACCTCCCAGGGCCCGGCACGTGAAAAACCTACAGCTACGAGCTACGGTACCCTCTCGGTGCTCGAGATTATTCCAAGTGTTCCAGGCTAAAGTAGGTTGGAAAAGACGCTCGAAGCCCTGATTTTTCATGGCGTGGACCCCCAGAGGTCTCGACCTAGTCCCCGGGACTGGCTTCTCATCCTGAGTCGTCTTCTCACGGCGCCGAAACCCGACGAGGGCCCCGTGGAGGCTGAAACTTGGAAAAAGCCTCCCGCCCTGATTGTTGCATGACCCGAGGGAACCTGGGCCCTGGAAGAGTTACTCTCTGCTCGGCGGCGAGCGAGGGCGGGAAGTGAGAGGGAGAAGGCCTTCTCAGAAGGCTCGGAAGTCCCCCGGCCTTCCGAAAAATTGTCCAAGCCTTCCCCGAAGACACGGAAAACTTCTCAGAAGACCGGAGGGCTTCTGAGAAGTCCCGCCGCCTTCTGAGAAGGCCGACTGCTTCTCACTTCCCCCCACGCTCGCCGCCGATCTACGAGATCTCGCCCAGCCAGTCTCGCGGGCAGCCTGGGCTGCGGCATTGCGAACTGTCCCGCAGGCAAGAAGAGGAGGGAGAAGCACGAAAGACGGCCGCGGAGACAGAAATAGGGAGGGAGGAAGCACTCACGTGGAAGGGCCGCGGGGGGCGCGCGGGGCGGCCAAGCTGCGGGGCAATCTGGCGTCGGCCTCCGCATGCTTTCCGCACGCCTCTCGATCGAATTGAAGCACGCGAGAGGGGGGGGATCTTCGCACCCTCGCGCCCGCACCGCTGGAGACGGGCAACTTCGCGCCCGGGAGAGCGGCCGTAGGCGTCGGCGAAGCTCGGCCGAACCGGCCGTGAGGCCGAAACCGACCGAAGCCGAGGGGCCGCAAGCAGTCCACGAGGACGCAGAGGCGCAGCCGCCGACCGAAGCAAGCCGACCAGGCCACAGCCGACTCGGCCGACTGCGGAGCAGCCGAACCGACTGGACCGCGGACACCCCTCTGGGAAGCCGAACGACAGTGGAGGCCAGTCCAGGAGAAGCCTGCCACAGGTAGCCCAAACCCTGAGACCCCAGGACGTCCATGGATTTTTGGTGTGGGGACGTCACGCTTTCCGTAGTAAAACCATCGAAACCCAAGAAACCCAGGGCCCCCTGGAGGCAAGCAGGGTGTTTCTCGGCGTGTGTCTCCACTGTATCCAAGATGAGCATGGTCTGGATACGCCCCTGTTTGGGGCCCTCGATTTCTGATCTGGGAAACCCTGGAACCGCGGATCCGCGACAACGCCTGTGCCGGGAGAGCACTGGACAATCTCTGCACGTGGCAGACTGTGATGCCGGAAAGTCGGGACGAATCGGCGGTGGACAAACCTCCCTTTAACAAACCAGCCTTAGCGAAAACGGCCCAGGAGCGAAACCGATGGACCCGGACCCGCAAAAAAAAAAAAATGCCGCGACGCCCCCTCGCGAACCGAACACGGCCACTTCGCGAACCGACGCGTAAAGGGCAGGAGGCCTATAGCAAACTCCCCGAACGAAGGGCAACCGGCGCCCTGCCGTAGGAGCGGAAGCTCCGAAGCACCCGTTTCCCCGGCGGCCCCGCGCCCTGAGCACTCCGGGCCCGGCCCTCGGTGACCAGTGGCCGCAGGGCCCGCCCGCGGCGACCGCCTCTGCCACGCAGGGCCGATGGCTGCAGGCTCGACCGTTGGCCACGACCGCCACCAGCGCGCCCCGGCTCTGACGAGGCGAGGCCAGGGCGAGGACACCATCGGGTGAGACAGCTCAGGAATCTCCGAAGTCCGGCGGTTCTGGAGGATGTCTCGGGCGCCGCGGCCTTCTCAGAGCGTTCCGGGAGGCTCTGAGAGCATTATGGAACACTCTGGAACGAATTTATCCTCGTCCTGGCCCCGTCCGACAGGATGACCCAGCTCTGACACTGGGTGACCTGGGCAACGGCAAGGGTCGGGCTTCCGAACAAGGTCCCCCCGCTTCACCACCAGCGGCGAACACATCCCCATCTACGCACTCGCTTGCAGGATTCTGAACCGCGGTCCTGTGAAACGCGGACCGCCCTCCCCCAACCGAGGGGTGGGCGGTGGTGCGGGCTTTTGGCCTGCGCACCGCCACTATCACCACCACCACCCCCACCATCAAACTTGGCGCCGAGGAAGCAAGGGTCAGGGTCGAACGGGTAGCCCTCCGACAAGGAACCTCGCCTCTGGAAAGCTGCGGGGAACGTGGTCCAGCAAGGGGACGGCCACTTCCAAGAAGCCCCCTGCCTTGATAGAAGAAGGCCGCCCCCCCCCCGCCAGTTGTCCCAGCGCTGGCGGCGCCCGCGCAACAGGGAAAGCGCCCGGCGGCGGGGCCCGAAACCAACCGCACGCAGCAGACGTCGTACCCACCCCCCCATCCTTGTCCCCTCCTTCCTTTCCCGGGTCCGCCCAAAAGGGGGGCTAGGAAGGGGGCGGGGGCGCATAGTGGCGAAAGGGGGGAGGTGGGCAAAAGCTCATCAAAAAGTTGTTGAAAAGAAGACGAGGGGAGCCATGAGATCAGGGAGATGTCCTCAGTTCTCGCCCCCCTCTTGGGCGCCCTGCGATAAGATGTCAGCATCGCGAAAAATCCCGACCAAAGCCCTGGCCCCCATCTTTCTGCAGAATGTTTCGGGCGCGCGAAACGGGTACGGAAAAGCCGAAGTGCGATGTCAAACAGCAAATGGTGTCCAAATCCGATACGGTGGAGGCATTATCTGTGTGGGCGCCGAGCGGGCTCGGCGGATTCTTGCATAAATTCAAGGCGGAGAGGCGGAGGGCCGCGCGGGCGCTTACAGCCGCCTGCCGAGGCCGCCTCAGCCCGCGGCGCACGTCCCCGCGCGGCCTGCGCGGGCGGCCGCTGCCGTCGCGGCTCGCCCGCGCTCGAGGGCCGCCGCAGCGTCCGCGAAGCCGTGGGCTCCACGTACACCCTCGAGCCCTGGGCGGGACCGCCGCGGCTCGGCGGCCTCCTCCCGCGGGGCCGCCGCGGCCAGCCGCCGCGTAGCCGCGGCGCTCGGCGGCGCAGCCGCCTGGCTCCCAGCGCCAGCCGCAGGCGGCGGGGGCTGGGCGGCTGCTGGCAGCCGCTGCGCTGGCACGGGCGTTGCCACGAGCGCCTGCCCCTCCGCGCCGTGGCCCTGCCTGGCCTGGAACGCCGCCGCCCAGCGCTGGCGCGTGCACTCCGTTGGCGAGGCAAGCGGCGCGATCGGCTCCTTCGACGCCGGCAGGATGCCGCGAGCGAAGTCCGACCGCGCCTGGGCTCTGGATCCCTTCTTGCACTTGGGCTGCCCAGCCGCCGCGCTGGCCCCGCACTGCTTGCCCAGGCCGCGGTGCGCGTACCTGGGGAGGCGGCAGTACATCCAGCAAGCCGCGCAAACCAAGAAGGGCTCGGAGTCGTCTCCTTCGACTCTCGACTCCATGAGGAGGTGGCCGTTGACCCTCCATCCCGCTGGACGGGCTGCATCAGCCGCCTCCGCAGTGGCTGGTCCGCTGCTCGCCGCCTCCGCCGCCGCCAGGCGCGGGCAGGGCGCGGGGTCTGAGGCCTCGCGGCGCCTCGGCTGCACCTGCGCCCTGCGCTGGGCGACCCGTCGCAGGGCATCCGCGGGCGACTCGGCCGAGGCGGGGCGGCGCCTCATGGGCGAAGGGCGCGAGCTGGAGGCGCCAGCAGCCGCCACCGCTGCCAGGGCCGCCGCCGCGGCGAGGAGGGGGCCGCCATCAGCCGCCGAGGCCTGCGCCTCGGCGTAGCCACCGCAAAGCTCCGCGTCGATCTCCTTCACGTTGCCATCGCCATACAGCGCGACGTGCTCCGCGTCGCGTGGCGCCTGGCGAACCTGCCGCGGGCGGCGCACCAAGGGGGCAGCTGGGGGCGGCAGGCTGCTGTCTGCAGGCCGCGTCGGCTGCCCAGGGCCTCCGCCAGCGGCGTGCCCGACAGCGGCGGCTGCCTCGCGGCCCTCGGGGAGCTCGATGGGTTCCGCGATGCCGCTGCCGCGCACCAGCGCCGCGCCGTCAGGAGCAGCCACCAGCGCGCCCAGCTCCGTGATGCCAGCCGCGCGCACCTCCACGTCGTGCTTCTTCCCGAACTGGCCGCGCCCCTGGGACTGCGACTTCGGTGGGCTGAATCCACCTGTCCCAGGGGCGGGCTCCGCCGCGGCGGCGAACAGGGGGTCGGCCTCGCCGTCGAGCTCCGCCGCAGAGTAGGGGGTGAGGTCCCGCAAGCCCGACTCCGTGTCCTGGACCTCGAACTCGGCGGCGAAGCGCGCCGCGAAGCGGGTGCGGGCCTGGCAGCCCTGGAGCAGGCGGGTCTCCTCGTCGGCGATGGCGCGCATCGCCGCGCCCGCCTTCGCGAGCTGGCCCACGAGGCGGTTGCCGAAGAGCTCCACCTCCATGAGGTCGCCCCGCTCGATGGCCGCCCGCGAACGGGAGGGGATGAGCTTCAGGGCAGACGGCGCCGCACCCCTCGCCTGCACCACCCACTCGCCAACGGTCGTGAGAACCGCCACCGACCAGACCGCGCTCCTGATCATCAGGTCGTTGTTGACGCAGGAGCCGTTCGTGAAGACGAGGGCGCCCGCGGGCACCACGAGTGCGCCCGCGCCCCAGCCGCGCGAGCGGCGCGCCCCGCCAGGGTCACAGCGCGGCCTCTGCACCTGGTACTGGGCGCCGACGAAGAGGTCCTGGCAG